CTTTCTTCTTTTTCTCTACGTTTAACTCATTGAGTTTCTTTGTGTGTCTGTCATATTCTAGTTTCTTTTCGTTTTCACTTATTTGTTTCTGTATGTCTATTTTTGACTTTTTGACATCTGTTATTTGATTTTTGAGTGAACTCAAATTCATTTGACTTTGAGGGTTATAAGCTGTTCCGTCTGCAGCTCCACCATAGCCTGCCATTTTTGCTAAAAGTGCCGCTCTTAAACCTCCACTCTGTGCACCAATAACTCGGTTTAAAAGCATAGGGTTGCTTGACATTTGTTGCAACATAGTGGGGTCATTCATCATTTGTTGTTGCAACTGTTGTTGTGGTGTCAGTTTTACTATTGGATGTTTCAATGCTCCCTTCCTCTTACGTATATTCTTACGTAGCTTACGTGGCATTTTAAGTGAAGTTAAAATGTGGTTTTTGACAGATGTTTATATGACACTTTTTGTTCAGCACAAAAAACTACTCGGTCAAAGTGTTGTCAGTTTTGTAAAATAACCGTCCTATCTTGTTTTAAAAGGGAGAAAAGGCTTCTCAAAGTATACTTCCTTGGAACGCCTGTAACTTTTCCCGTAGCGACGATAGACCCTTGCTTGTCCGGACAAAGTTATTCTACTTTGAGTGCTCTACAAAAAAGTCACCGGCTGGCTCGTCCTCAGAAATTTTTTATGGGCTAGAGGGCGCAACGCGCCTGGAAGCCCTCCGAATAAAAACTTCATTTATACTAAACATCTTCGGGGCTAGAGGGCGCAACGCGCCTGGAAGCCCTCCGAATAAAAACTTCATTTATACTAAACATCTTCGGGGCTAGAGGGCGCAACGCGCCTGGAAGCCCTCCGAATAAAAACTTCATTTATACTAAACATCTTCGGGGCTAGAGGGCGCAACGCGCCTGGAAGCCCCACTACCTTTTTTTTCATTACAATTTATCATATAATTTAAAAATCAATCATATCTTAAGAACCTCATAAATCAGAATTTTATCTCAAATTTTGTTCCTTTCTCCAAAATGCCTCGATAGATTTCTTCGATTCCATGCATATAAGTTTTGTCACGGGTTGTACGTATATAGCCATTAGCAAAATGAAAAACGGAGCCAGAAAATTTAGCTGGACTCCCATTCCCTTTAAATTTGTAAGTTCAATAATTTCAGCAAATGAAATGATTTGATTAGAATGAGCAATTTATACAATTTATAAATATTTTTTTACCTTTGATTTTATTCTATCTATTTGAGAAATATCACAATTAATTCAGAGATAATTGGCCGGGTTCAAATTATATCTGATTCAATTTCTAATTTTAATAATAAAATTCTCATTTTTAAATCAAATATACCGTACCTTGAATAACCGGCGAACCATTCAATTGGTCATAGACCAATTTGAGATACCCTTTTCAGAGGAATCTAAAATGTTGTTTATATGGTTATTTATATATTATTTAATCATTTTCTTAAATAAAAATCATAAGTTCTCAATTTTTCTTCATAACGATTCTTATAAATTTTAATGTTTTTACTATGAGTGCTAAATATTATTAATTACTAAATGATTTTAAAAAGAAAAAACATGTTTTTACTTTGTACGTTAACATACGTTAATATCACTTCGGCTATGGATAGAGGCCAACAGCGCCTTATTAATGAGAAAAACATTAGCCTCTTATCAATGAGATGGAAGTGTATTCGTGGATTACAATTGTGAATTCAGATACACTTCCATCTCAAAAAATGCAATCAAATTTGTATTGAATTGCATTTTTTGAATACATGCTATTGGCAGTTGGGTTTTTAGTGCATTTATATTATATTGGTACTAAGGCTTTTGGAAAATTTACAAAATAAATTTAATATTTTGTAAATGTTATCGGTTCTTACGCTTTTGGAAGGAGGGATGGTATTTTTGGAGCATTTATATTATATTGGTACTAAGGCTTTTGGAAAATTTACAAAATAAATTTAATATTTTGTAAATGTTATCGGTTCTTACGCTTTTGGAAGGAGGGATGGTATTTTTGGAGCATTTATATTACATTGGTACTAAGGCTTTTGGAAAATTTACAAAATAAATTTAATATTTTGTAAATTTCGTAAACGAAAAAGGGGATTTGACTCCGTCAAATCCCCGCTCACAAAAAGTGGACTTTACATGTCAAATTTTATATGCATGTAATGTCCACCTTTATGAGTTTTAGGAAGGAATTGGAGGGTAAGAGATATACCATATGAATGTATATCTCTTACCCTCCAATTCCTTCTAGAAAGTGTCCAAACTTTGGGTTAATTGCAAACTATTAACCCAAAGTTTGGACACTTTCAAGTGGAGATGGAAGGCTTTGGGGTATATATTAATACAATATACCTCAAAGCCTTCCATTTCCACTACAAATGGGAGAAACTTTGTCCGAATAGTTTAACATTCGGACAAAGTTTCTCCCATCTTTCAATGTAATTGCTACCTGTGAGGTACTGACTTGAAGTCAGTGCTTCACAGGTAGCAATATCCAAAAATTTAAAAACATTTTATCAGTTCGTTAGAGAACTAGAGCCTCCTAGGTACTGAACCAGAATCAGTGCCTAGGGGACTCTAGTGATCTATATAAATCTGAGAAACTTTGAGGAAATTGTTCGACATTTCCTCAAAGTTTCTCAGCAATTTAGCGAGAAATGTTCGTTATCGTGTAGATATTTATAATATATACATGATAACAAACATTTCCCGCTAAAAGATGTAAAATCTTATAAGAAATAATTGCAAAAGAATAACAAATTGCAACAAATTTTATATGAAACTGAACCTTATGAGGTAGTGATTCAAGATCACCGCCTCATAAGATTCAGTTTCAATCTCAAGTATCTCAAAAGTAAGGCTCTATTTTTTGCCATGTAAAGTGTCACTTTTCTGTCAAACTGTTTTTATCGTTTTCGTTTACAACATAAATGTTATCGGTTCTTACGCTTTTGGAAGGAGGGATGGTATTTTTGGAGCATTTATATTACATTCTTACTAAGGCTTTTGGAAAATTTACAAAATAAATTTAATATTTTGTAAATGTTATCGGTTCTTACACTTCCTCTCTTCATCAAGATGCTTCCTCACTCCATCATGCATCCATCATGCAGCTTCCTCTCTTCATCAAGGTGCTTCCTCTCTTGATCAAGATGCTTCCTCTCTTCATCAAGATGCTTCCTCTCTTGATCAAGGTGCTTCCTCTCTTCATCAAAGTGCTTCCTCTCTTGATCAAGGTGCTTCCTCTCTTCTTCAAAGTACTTCCTCTCTTGATCAAGGTGCTTCTTCTCTTCATCATGCAGCTTCCTCTCTTCAACAAAGTGCTTCCTCTCTTCAACAAAGTGCTTCCTCTCTTGATCAAGATGCTTCCTCTCTTCATCAAGGTGCTTCCTCTCTTCATCATGCAGCTTCCTCTCTTCATCATGCAGCTTCCTCTCTTGATCAAGATGCTTCCTCTCTTGATCAAGGTGCTTCCTCTCTTCATCAAAGTGCTTCCTCTCTTGATCAAGATGCTTCCTCTCTTCATCAAGATGCTTCCTCTCTTGATCAAGGTGCTTCCTCTCTTCATCAAAGTGCTTCCTCTCTTGATCAAGATGCTTCCTCTCTTCATCAAGATGCTTCCTCACTCCATTATGCAGCTGCTTCTTTTCTTCATCAATTCCTCTTCACCCTGGAGCTCCTCAGCTTTATATCATTTTAATTGGATTTTTTGAAATCCACCTGCAGTAGGATAAAGGAGATGTAACTCACGACTAAGAACCTGGCCATATGCTCTATTCCAGGCCAAAACAGATTGCATAGCCACAAACAGATTGAAATACCAATCCTGTTGCTGCATGGGGCGTCCATATTCCATTTGGAAGACTTGCATCATCACATTTGGATCTGTAAGGACTTTGTCGTTGACAAAATTGGGCCTTGCAGGAGGAACTCCATTTGCTACAATGTATCTGGAAGCAAGAGGTTTGTTCATATCCAATGGATAGATTCCTGTTGCTTTAAAAGCATTTTCGATGTTTGTAGCTGTGCAAGACACACTACATGCATCAAGGAAGCTGCGAACCATGATATAGCGCAGTTCTCTGGCGTTCCATACATAATTGATCACCATATGCCCTTGCTGATCGTACCGGATAGTCGCCATATCAAACAACTTCTTGAATTGGGCCTTCAAGGGAGAAAAAATCCCAACATCAAGAGGTTGTAAGATATGAGATGTATGGCCTGGGAGAACAAGAAGCTCGATATTGAAGGCGCTCAAGAGGCGAACGGCCAAGAAAGAGAGCCTGGATGGATGACCATCTACAATTAGGAGAAAAGGTACCTGGGCATCAAACACATTCATTTGAGACCTTTTCTCCTGTACTTTGCAGATGAACATGATACAGTATACCATAAAAAGGTATTTGTTCATCCATCCACTCTCGGAGCGAACAAAAAAGGCGTCCAGATCTTCCAATTCCGAATCAAGGGTCTTCTTTTGTGGAAGTATCACCATTGGCTTCATAGTTGTACCATCTGCAAAGATGGTACAGACCCCTGTATTTGTTGATAAGACTTGCCATTTACTCTTCGATAGAGTAAATCGAGTTGCATCTGGGTCAATAGCCCAAGATTTTTATAGTTTTCTAATTCTGCAAACTCGGGAATTCGTGTTCTTGGTTGCATTTTTTTTTAAACGGGAACTTCACAAATTTGGTTCATGGCCATAAAAACTCATTCAATTTTTCTGAGATTTTTTTCGTCACTCACTCAAAACGCAGAGGACCATTCTTCTCAAAATTGAATTATTTTCTCAAATATTGAGTGAGTAAAATGGGCACGTTGTGTAAATTGATTCAAAATTTTTTATTGGTACACGACCTTTGAAATTGGTCTCGGGCTATTCAACCTACGGTATTTGATTGAATTGAAATATTTGAGAGATTGTCACGACATCGTTTTTATTTCATTTTTACCTGAGTAGGGAAGAACAATGTCTTCTTTTTTCCGTCGTGAGTTGCTCTATGCAGCAATTGTTTGTCTAACACCTTTAGGTTTCGGATATACCATTGGCTACCCGTCACCTGCTGAATATTACTGGACTATTACGAATCCTTGGTCAAAATGGCCAAAACAATCGGGCCTTTTTGTTGCTATAACTCAACTGACAGGTGCAATCGGTCCTTACATTCCGTCAATTTTATTTAATTTTGGTCTTGGACGTCGCCTTGTTACATCCCTTGTTGACATAGTCAGCATAATTCTTTGGGTAATTCTTATTTTCTTAAATGAAAAGTTATTCTGGATGGGATTTGTCATCCGCATTTTACAGGGCTTCATGCTCGGCGCTGCATCATCGCTTGGTCCACTTCTCCTTCTTGAAGTTGCCCCTGCCGAGCAAACTGGTCTTTACGGTACATTCAACCAAATCTTCATTGTTATTGGCATCATTATTCTCTATCTCATTGGAGAATATCAACATCCTCGCGCAATGTGCATCTATTCTGCAGTTTCCCATGCTCTCCAGCTCGGTCTCATTTGGTTGATCCCAGAAACTTCTATCACCCAGCAAAACAAAGGCGGAGATGACAAAGAAAACAAAGAGGAAGAAAAGAAGGAATCAATCTTCCAGAAGCAATACCTTTGGCCACTTACAGTTCTCATTCTTATTATGCTCACACAGCAATTCTCAGGTATCAACGCCATTCTTGCTGGCCTCTTCAAGAATGCTAACATCAACGGTCTTAAGCCAGGTATCCAGTCAGTCATTGCCACACTTGCACAACTCATTGCCTGTTTCTTCTCAGGTGGCCTCATCAAAGTACTTGGCCGCCGCGTAATGTGGTCCATTTCAGGTATAGTATGTGCTGCTTCTCTTATTATTTTCGGCTTCAATTCTAAGTACCACTGGTCAAATGTTCTTCCTGTTGTACTTATCTTCCTTTACCAGTTCGGATTCGGTCTTGGTCTTGCACCAATGCCATGGTACTCCTCTCCAGAAATGTTCCCACCTTCTGTCCGCCCATTGGCTTCTTCCATCAATGGCATGACTTCATGGCTCTTCTCATTCATCATCGTTTACGCATCTCCTGCCATGAAAGATTCAAAGATGGGTGAGCTCGGCCTCTTCCTCTTCTATGGTATCATCACAATCGCTGGTACTATCTTCGGATTCTGGTTTATCAAGGAACCAAATGTCAACGAAAATGAGACCCTTGATAACGACGGAGACAAGCCACAGAGCGAACTTTAAATATGTAATTTCGTATTATTTAATTAAACATCTTTACGAAATGTGTATATTCTTCTTTTTTTTTACATCTAAGTTTGTATTCTATGTAAAAATTCACCATTCTTGGGGAGCACCGTTAAATTCAATGGAATTATTCGCTTTTTACGCCAATCTGAATGCGTCCATTACTTTATATGAAAATGAGTAGGTGCCAAAAGTGCTTACTCTTAAACAACCGTCGGATTTCCGGGTGAAATCGTGACACACTTTCGTCTTTCGTAGGCAGTGGTGGTTGTTACAAAAGGTAACTTCGAATGTAGCGTGAAATCTGCAAAAAAAATTCTGAAATTTGAATGGATAACACAAAAATTGAATAGTTTACGTCAATAAAAAAGAGAAAAATGAAGCCAATGTGTCTCGAACCTAGGACTTAGAGCAGCAATCCCACTGTTTATCCCATTACACTACATGCATCTCTCACCTCAGTGAATGAGATCAACTATATGATAACTTTTTCCCCATTATATTCTTGTGGAAAAGTGACAAATAGCAACTTTGACCCTCTCTCATCATTGCATATATTGATACAACACAATTTTATTAGTTAATGCGGCACAAAGATAAATTTATCCCTCAATATCATAACAAGGGTGAATTTTTACACAGCCATAAATTCCTTTTCATATCACAATTAGAACAAGTCTAATTCTACAATATCCGAACGCTATTCCCTTAATTAAATACTAATAGGTTAATGATTACTTATCTTTTCTAAGAAGTAACAATATACATAAAAAAACTACAAATACATTAAATGTGTGTGACATATCTTCTTACATTTCAGGATAACTGTAAAAAAATCTCTTTATCTTTGCCTTACTTAGCAAATTAAGCATTATTATAAATATAATGAAAAAAAAAAAAAAAAAAAAAAAAAGGTAGTGGGGCTTCCAGGGCTGCGCCCCTCTAGCCCCTGAAGATGTTTAGTATAAATGAAGTTCTTATATACGGGTCTTCCAGGAGCTTTTCACAAAATATATATGTTTTCATGTTTTGTCACTTTTCTGTCACTTTTCAGGTAAAAACATTTTTATTATATATATATAAAATGAATTTTACAAAACCACCGTTACCCTTCTTTGGAAATAAGAGTAGATGTAAAGATATTCTATTGAGAGAACTTAAGAAACTACCGAATGGTCTAACATTTGTAGATTTGTTCGGTGGAAGTTTCTATATATCTCATTTGTGCCATACTGTATTTCCTGACTCAAAGATTATATGCAATGACTTCGACAACTATATGAACCGTCTCAAACATATACCAGACACAAACAAAATATTGAAAGAGTTAAAAGAAAAGATACCTATAGGTAAGATGGAACGTATACCATTAGATAAGAAAAATACTGTCAGAGAGGTTTTGAAAAAGGCAGAGTATATTGACTGGGATAGTATATCTTCTAGACTATTATATAGTGGTGCTATAAGAGTTCATGACATTGAAACACTTATGTCAAAAGTTTTATATCTTAACTATACAAATGTTTTCAAAGAGGACATAGAAAAATATATTGAGGGTATAGAGTTTGTGAGATGTCATTGGACAGAGTTGTATGAAAAATATAAAGACAAGGAAAATGTTTTCTTTATAGTGGACCCGCCGTTCTATAACACATGGGATTTTCAATACCAAGTAGACTGGACTTTGAGAGACTCTTTAGAAACTTTAGACGTTTTACATAACCATCCATGCTTTTACTTTACATCCGATAAAAGTGGTTTGGAAACCGTTATGAGATGGTTAGAGGACATACATGACTATGAGTTTATATATGACAAGATAGAATATGAGAGAGGTCCTATAAACTGGAGAAAGTGTCATAACAAAGAAATTTTATTGGTAAGTAAATGTGGTTTGAAATAGGACTACTTGTTTTAGGTTTTTTCCATTGTGTCATTTACTTATTTGACGTGGCAGAAAGATATAGAGAATATGAAGATGAACCAATACCAGCAAATGTTCAGCATATGTACTCGTAAGAGATATTTTTATCTAATATTAAATGGACGCACAGAACTTAGCGAATGCACAGCAACCTGGACAACCAAACCCAGAGAATATTCCAAATGAAGTTAGAATACAAACTGCAATGGCAAACTATGGTCAAGTGCCAACAGATGTACAAATGCAAACTGCCATGTCAAATGACGCTGCGTTAGGCTTACCACCATGGTATGCAAATATGAGATGGAAAGAGTTTTATACAAACCCTGAAGTGGGATATAAACAACTCTATGCAGATGACGCGAACACAGGAGTTGACCCAGAGTATGTTTTCTACCAGAGGAGAAATAGAATGTATGAGCTCCAGTTAAAGAATGCAATGGAACTCAACAGGAAACGTAAGAGACTAGGCGGACATTAGATTTTTACATATAGTAAAATGGGTTTCTTTGGAAGAATAGGAAACTTCTTTCGAAATGTTGGAAGAGGTATATGGAATGGAATAAAAACCGTAGGAAGAGGAATTTGGAACGGAGTCAAAAATATTGGTAAAAGAGTAGGTCAGTTCGTTGGTATTATACCTAAAGACCCTGAACCAGAAGAACAAGCTCCTGTTATACAACAGCCTGAACCTGCACCACAGTCTAGTTGGCAACCAAATCCAACACCTCAACCGTATTAAAATTATATTTTTACCGTTCGATAGTAGTTGTATATGAAACTAAGTTCTAAGTAAAACGCGTGGTATAATGGAATTATTCTCTTTCTTCCATCTGTAGTAAACCATACTTGAAAGTCTGAAATACTTCCACTTGGTGGTTCGTATAGCTTTGTAGGTTTTTCGTAAAAGTCATTTGCCAAGCATAAAAAAGAGTTTTGTGCACCAGAAAATGAAGCATGAACTATAATAGCATCTGAGTCGAAAACATTTTCATATGTTCCATTAGGGTTTTCGACTTCATAAAAGTTCGGGTGTACTGGATATGCTGCAGGCTGATTTAACATCCTCAAAAATCTATACCATGCCAAGTTGTTATATTTTGTAGAAATATAAACGTCTTCTCCAAGGTCTTCTATTCTATTGATTTTAACAGTTGCATTTTTCCTGTCATATAAAATATCGAGATGGTACTCTCCTTCGTCAATGTTGTACTGTTTTGCATATTCGAGATAGATATCGTTTTTTTTTCTTGAAAAGCTTGAAGAGTTGTTTCTAAGTTTACAAGCAAATTCACTTGTAAAAGTTTTCCCTGTTCAAATTTCTCATACGTATGTTTTTCTTTGTTATAGTATCGAATTTCAAAAGCGACCGTAAATGGGAAACCATGTATGGCTTCTGAAATGAACTTCATTCTACGAAAGCCAACAGCTTTTGTGACGGATGGGTCTCTTAGCCATCTCAATGGGTAGTCAAAACGATAGCCTTCATGCTTTACGGTCTCTGTCTCAAACTTTTGACCTACGTTAGTAAAAAGTTCATCTAATGGTTTAGTTGTAGCAACTCTAGAATTTTCTTTTTCTATTGAAAGCATATTTTATCTAGAATAAAAATGTCAAATGAAACAGCGTCTATGAGAGAAATACAACACAACCGACAACTCATTATACAAGCTCTAAATAAGAACACAACAAACTTTTCAAACTATTCTAAGATATCTGAGTCATTGAAAGAAGGAAATTTAAAACTGACGATAAACCCATTGACAGACGAGTTTCTGTTTCAAGACAGTAAGAACCATACTGTTTGTATAAATCCAACAAAAGGAACTTTAAACGAGAAGCCTATAGATGAACTTCTTTTGAAAGCAGATGTTGACAACAAAGCTGACAAAGAATATGTCATTGAAAAAGTTCAAGAAGAACATGACAGAGCAGATGCAACATATGCAACAAAAGAGGATGTTGAAAAGAAAGCAGATAAAACATATGTTAACGATGAGTTAGAATGTGTGGCTAGTGCGTTAGTGAAGAAGGCAGATAAGGAATATGTGGATGAAAAAGACAATGAAATTAAAGAAAGGGTTGAATGGTATAATGAACGGACATCGAAGATTTTAAAAACGAAAGCTGATACAGGATGGGTTTCAGGGTGTTTAGACCTTAAAGCCGACAAAGAAACTGTAGATATGTTGGCACAAACGGTTTCAAGTCATACCAGAGGTTTAATGGAAGATGGACAACAGTTGAAAGAGCTTGAGAAAGGTGTTACAGAGTTAAGGAATACAAAAGCAGACTCGACATGGATAAAAGGATATGTAGATGCAACAAAAGAGTATATTTTCACATGGACAGAAGGAACATACCCACAAAAATATCATAGACATAGCATCTCTGACGTAAATGAACTTGAAGAAAAGTTATATAAAAAAGCAGACAAAACAGAGCTTCAAACATTAAAGACAGAAATACTTCAAACATTATATCCTATAGGCTCTATTTATACGTCAATGAACTCTACCAGACCAGAAGTAGTACTTGGTTTTGGAACTTGGACTCAAATAGTCGACAGGTTTTTGTATTGTGCAAACTCTTCAAAGGAAACAGGTGGAAGTAAAACGATTTCAGGTGAAAATTTACCTGCACACAGTCACTACATAGATTTAAGTACATCTCAAGCAGGTTGGCATAAGCATAGATATTGGGATTGGACAGGAATGACAAAAGGTAAAGGATATGATGTTAAAGACGACGTTAAGTTTGCTATAAATTGTTACTGGGATGACACTCAGGGAGAAGGAAACCATACACATTTCGTTTCAGGATATACACAAACAACGGGACAGAGTAAAGACTACATGCCACCTTACATGACAGTTTACGCATGGTATAGAAATGCTTAGTCGTCATTTTCAACTTCTTTAGCATATTCGTCAGGAGTTGTCTTATATTTGTTAGGAACTGTCTTTGAAAGTATACCACCTTGAACTTTGACAAGTTTGAAACGAGGTCTGACAATAGTAGTTTTATCTTCTGCTTGCAGTCTGTACATTTTGCCATGTTTGCCTAAAACTTC